TCTCGGACTCATCTAATGGGCCATACAAGCCCTCCTCGTGTAACATAAATCTTCTAGTTGTACATTTCTTACTACGTCTTATATACAATTCTACTATCTTTCATAAAGTTCCCTCGAAACGTGATCTACCCTTAAATGTCTATATTAAATTACCACATACTATAGTTACCACTACACCCTATGTATAACCTTGACACCGACATATAAGTACACGATCTATACCTCTTAACCCAATCTATCCTTGGTTATACGGATTAAATCCCGCATAATATCTTTACTACAACACACTAACCCTAACCTTGATATATATACTATGAATCACTGATTGCCTGACTAATGTCCTAGGCCTTTACATGAATCTATTATCCTACCCTCAGGGCTCACTGGGTACACTGGAAATTGCACATTCAATAGCTCAACACTGTTATCACCAATACTATGAAAGAATGATATTATCAATCAGCATGGCTATTATGCGTAAACAAACCCACCTGTAGTACAAGATGCCGGCCCACTGCCTCCGCTGGTCAGACCCATGTTGAAGAGAGCCTTCGGCTGACAACCGAATATTCTGTGATAGAACATGATTCAAATCCCCCGAAATTCCCTAATTTATCGTTTTCTTTCGCTGATTCAGCGTTGACGACAGAGGGTAGCTGACTCCCCCTCAGTGTCCTTAATCCTCATAATCACCTCCTCATTGGCTCTCATGGGTGGTTGTGGGCGGACCCCTTGCATCTTATTGCCGTGTATGCAGTCTCTCTCGATTACCGAGTAACCGAGTGAGGCAAGCTCTTGGCTCTGTGAGTACACAGACTTGCTGAGTATCCACATTCTTAACCTAATTGCCAGTCCTGGTGTTTACAAATTACTGTAAGAACTGCGAAACGCTTTTCGCAAGTCTCTAGCTTTTGGGTAATACCATACNAAAAAAAAAAAAAAAAAAAAAAAAAAAAAAAAAAACACCGATGATGATGATGATGATGATAATAATACAAAAGAACACTGTTGGAACAGCACTGGAATCAAGAATATTCCGTTGCAACCACGGGCAGCCTTACCCATACCAGCCAGACAGAAGACTCTCCAAACATAATTTAGAATTACAAAATCCGAAATAGGATTTCAGTTCCAAGTCCTCCAGCTGCCGGTAAGCAACCACTCATGAGTACGTCTACCTTCAGACTGCTGACACACCTACTTCCTTCTGAGACATTCGTGGAGAGGGAATGAAGGTCACGTGGTCAAGATAAGTAGAAATAACGGTAAAGACATCAGCATAATGCCAGTGGGGATGGGGTTAAGGAATGGCAGGATGCCAGGATGCAACACACATGAACCAGCTGAGTACAGCATGTCTTATTGTAGAAGTTCATTTGATGATAAAGCTTATGGTGATGATGACATTCCTACTTTGAGCATACAGTACTGTAGTGGACAAATAAACACTGATATGTATTACTTATTGAGTCAGCCTGAACCAACATAAATTTGGGACAGCACATTATATACCAATACAGCATGGAAAGTGGCTGGTTATTTCCTGAATTAGCAGATATATACTTCTAGTGCTAGGAGAGTATAATGGAAATACTACAGATGCTGTTAGAAGAAACAGAAAAAAAATACCCTAATTGGAGGGTGTTAGGTTATTGTACTTCCCCTTCTGTTTACCACTGACTCCAAGAAGCAGGAACATTTTTTCACTGAATGCAATGGTATATACACATTCTGTAGATAATGTATGCATGGAAGGGCAGATCCTCAGAGTTGTTGAAAGACAGTCTTCCATCAGTCCCAGATGTCTTGCAGGTTGTACACTTACCCTGGTTCTGTATTTTATATATTACAAGAACAGAAATTGTATCTGTATCATGTTCAGACTGCATGTCATACCACACAGTACACCAGTGGGGATGGGTATTCTGTCAATGTATTTTGCAACAGCACACTGACACCCCTATGATTAGAGCAAAGGTTTTACTCACAGATGAATTGTGCTTCACTAGGACTGGAATCATCAACCTTTGCAATGAACATGTGTGGTTGGATGAAAATCCTCATTCGCTTAAATCTCATCATCAGCAACAACAGTTTTCCATGAGTTCCATCAACCATGGGGTTAGAATTTTAGGTGAGGCCCTCACATTTTACTGGCATGAGTTGATGTTGGAGTGTTGGAAGATATATCCTTTAATGTCTTTGCATGTGGTTTCATCAACATAATGGTTCTCTACCACCCTCAGTCCTGAAGTGCATCAATGGCTGTCTGAAAATTATTATAAATGTTGAATTGGTCACAGACACGAAGCTTCAGTTCCCTGGCCTGCCCACTCACCTGACATGAATTCTCTTGATTCTTCTGTAGGAATGTTTGAGAACCAAGGTCTGTGCCACTACAGTTGATACTAGATTCAGCAGTTGGCAAGTGAACTAAGAATACACCTGGGACCTTTGAATACTTGGAAGTTTATTTTCTTGCAGACTAAGTTATGTTCATGCCATTTCTAACACCTCTTGCAAGAAAAATATATAGGTCATTAGGAGCTCATTTGTTTGTTTTCTTTTTATGTGCAACCTATTAAACCAAGGAACTATTTTAGGTATGATGATGGAAGTTGAAATTAGAATAGCTGTAACTTTTTAAGGAATGTCCTCAGAGTACATTTCCATATAAACGTTTTTACTGATTTTGATGTCCAGAAACCATACTGTGAATTATGGCATGTAATAATGAGACACTCCATATATGGAAAGATACTATGACACCTATATAAGAATTGAAATATTTGCTGAAGCATTCACTCAATAGAATGATAATAGTGAGACCACAAATTGACATTAAGGAGTGAAAACACTGCAACTAAGTGAAAACACAGTGAGGGATCTCCAGGTCTCGTGAAAGCAGGCTTTTATTGACCAGCTGAGGAAGACCCTGCAGGTAATGGAGTATATCATCATTCAGTGTCGTTTTTCCACATTCTTCCATTCTTCTCTAATCCTCCCATAAGCATTCCTCTTGTATCAACTTTTTTACTGTTTTTTGTGTATCTTAACTCACTTGGTCTACTCAAATAATTGTCTATTTAATATCTTAATTTTTAATGTAGTATGTTATGAGATTACTGTGTTGTCTGTGTTTTGTCCCATTTCAACTTTTGATTGAGAAAACTGATCTTCACAAAACATGGTATGAACATTTTACCACTGGATTCTATCTCAGCATCATACTTTATAATTTCTTACAGTTATTAATAAAAACATGGCAAATATGTAAACCTGTGGGGTGGGAGCATTCCTGCTTTAAACTCCTTGTTGATGCTTATGGTCATCCACGTGTAATATATGCCCATACCACTATATCATAAATTTCACCAACTTTTCTTGTAATACATAGGTCGTACTGAAAGTCATGAGCAACAATTTTTTGTAAAGTAACATGCTTTATTTTTGACAAACCAAATACACCACCTCAATCTACAGATCTTTCTTTATTTTTCCACATAATCACCACTTCCTTGTACACATTTCTCCCAGCATTCTGGGAGTTTGAAAATTCCCCTTCTGTAAAATTCCGTTCCAGCCATCCGAAGACACTGACGCACTGTTTTCTGAATTCAGCATGCTTATGGAAGTGTGTGCATGGGTGTGAGCAGTGTTTGAAGATTGGTGAAACATTTTAAAGATGGGAACACCAGCATCGAAGATGAGCCTCGGAGCGGTTGTCCTCGAACAGCCTCAACTGAGTGCAACAAGGAAAGAGTGGGTGAGATCATTCAAGATGACAAGCGTGTGACTGTGGACACAATCGCCTGAAAACTAGGAATAGGGCACAGTGCAGTACAGGAGATGATTGAAAGCTTGGGCTATAGGAAAGTTTGTGCTCGTTGGGTCCCGCGGTTATTGACCGAAGACCACAAAGGTCAGCAAAAAGCCATCACCTCAGAACTGCTGCAGAGATATCGACACAAAGGCAATGATTTTTTGCTCTGTATTGTGACAGGTGATGAAAGTTGGTTTCACCATTTCGAGCCTGAAACGAAATGGCACCATTTGCATTCTCTATCAAAAAAAGAAGGCAAAGACAGTGCCATCAGCTGCGAAGGTGATGGGCACAGTCTTCTGGGATGCAGAGGGGTTTATTCTGGCCGAATTCCTGGAACCTGGGTAAACCATCAATGCTGCTTGTTATGTCCAGATGCTGCACAAGCTCCGTCGTGCATTGCTAGATAAACATCCTGGACAAAACATCATCATCCTGCATGACAACGCTCGCCCCCATGCTGCTCACCTCACATTGGAAGCAATTGCAAAGATGGGGTGGGAAGTTCTTCCACACCCCTCCTATAGCCCTGATCTGGCACCCTCCGACTACCATCTTTTTGGATTTATGAAGGATCAGCTATGTGGACAACGTTTTGAGACAAGGGAGGTAATTCAGAAAGCAGTGCGTCAGTGTCTTCGGATGTCTGGAATGGAATTTTACAGAAGGGGAATGTTCAAACTCCCTGAACGCTGAGAGAAATGTGTACAAAGAAGTGGCGATTATGTGGAAAAATAAAGAAAGGTCTGTAGATTGAGGTGGTGTATTTGGTTTGTCAATAATAAAGCATGTTACTTTACAAAAAACTGTTGCTCATGACTTTCAGTACGACCCTCGTATTTCTGCATTTAGATCTTTCCTAGTTAGTGAGTTATATTATGACAATCTTTCTTTACAGGAGGTGTGCACGCTGATACTGGCTGTTGAAACTGGTGATCAGATGAACTTAATCAATGTTGTGGGGTTATTTTTCTGTTTGGGAGGAATTATTTTCCATGTCTTGCACAAATCGACTATTGCCAGCAGAAGAAGCAATGTGAATGAGTTTGAAGGAGATCTGTACAACACTGAGGGAGATGCAAAGCAGTCAGACAGTGGCTCGGATTTACGAGTGCCTCTGCTTGCAGATTCCTCTGTCATGTTCACATCAGGGAACATTTATAGCACAGATGAGAGTGATGAGGACTCATCAAACGTTCTGTTCAACATTCTGCAGAGAAGGGACAACTCAAAGTAGAGGTCTTAGTCATAACTTGCCTTGTTTGATTTTTATACAGTTTCACTTTTGTGTTTCATGTTGGTGGAATGAAAATCAGAATACTTCTTAAGTAATGGCTGTTGTGGATGTATTTAAAAATGAATTTTATACTTTGTACAAGGAACTGATATGAACAGCCATACAACAGATTTATCTTTTAATAACATAAGAACATATGTTATAAAAATTATATTGCTTTCCAACACATTCCAGTGCGCACATGCATGTTGTTGACTTTATGTAGTGTGGACTGTACTGATTTTTCTCTTTGGGTTTGAAAATCAGGGTTTAATGTAAACATCCCTGTGTTGAGAACCTGAGGAAATTAAACTTTTATCCATGAATTTTATACGCACAATTTTATTTGGGTGAGTTACTCCAGGGTTTGGTCCATGGTATGGGTAATGGGGGGGGGGTGTCTTTGGATTAAAGCAGCTGGACCATGAAGCTGAGCACTCACCTCTATATAGTTCCAAGGTTTAGAATGTGTGGAGTTCTCCCTCTGTGACCTTATATTGACTTCAAGGTATGGTGTTTATTTAGCACAAGGGTAACTTTACTTTTTACTTATAATTTTAAAATATGAAGCAACTTATATAAGACAATGATTATTATTATTTAGTCAACACAAGTGTGGTATAAACACACCATGTGTTTGCATGTACCACATATTTTAGCCTATTGCAGCCATCATCAGGTATATGGAGCTTATAAAGTCGCCCTTCTTTCTATCTGCTTTGCCTCCCTACACTGGCCAATATTTACACATTGGAAGTGTGTTGTACAGGTTATCTAATGTCCTTGTGTTATAAAACCTATTAAGTATTGAAATTTAATTTTTTTTATTATATTTCTAACTTACATAAATTTTAAAAGTACTGTCTTCTGGGATATGATGTTATATAGTCTGGCATAAATGTGCAGAGTGCTTGAATTTTGCTTGGTTTACATTTCACTCATGATGAAGGATGCCATATTTTCCTCTGAGGTGTCAGTAAACTTTTACCAGACTGCAAAATGTCACATCTCAGAAGATAGTTCTCTTCATAATCACTGCTGTGAGAACTTCAGATCCTTATATATGTATATTTTTGCATTTAATAAGTTATTTATATAAACAGAGAACTGTGACTGGCTATGGACTGGATGACTACAGAGTTTGATTCCAAGAAGGAGCAAGAATTTTATTTCCTTAACTGCTGAACGCAGTCAGATTTCTTGAATCCACCCAGTGAGTACTGGGGGATCTCCAGAGATGAAGCAGTCACAGCATGAAACTTAAAACTTACCTTCAGCTAATGCTGAGGTGTAGAATGTGTGGAGCTTTATCTCTGTGAGCTCATATGCCTTCACAGTCTGGTAACAGTGGCAACTTGACTGCTACTTCTACCAGAGACAACGAACAACAGTACATTGAGCATTCACAAATTGTACTTTAAAGTGGAAGGTTAGATACCAAAGTTGTATTTGCAAACAATGTCTTTGTTACAAAAATATGATTTCTAATTGTCATATTATACCAGAAATTTTTGTGACATTAACAAAAATGTAAATAATGCTAGATAATTCTCAGGGGATACATGTGGCTTTGAGGCCATGACTTCAGGACTGATTTAAGATAAGGTAATTTTATAATCACTGTTTGTCACTGTCAATACCATTTTACAGAAGTATGTGAGGTAAAAATAACATGCAGTTGTCTGCAAGCCACAGTTTGGAAATCACTAGGTTCTGCATCTCTCCTATTTCAGCCTGAAGGCCTGAAGGTATGCTGTGTTTTTAACACTAAGGTTTTCTTAATATGTACCACATGTAACTTCATGGAGTTTGAGAAACTTTTGTAGAATTCAGGATATTTTTATGGTTCCTATTGCAAGTATAGAACAGAGGAGTTGAATGCAAAAACGGCATTAATACTTCTTGCCCAACTTTAGTTAATAAGTGACCATATTATAAATGCAATTTTAATATAGAAGTAATGTTTCATGCCTATTTTAATTGATAAGTGTTTACATTATTATAACATATTAAAAATATGTTTGAAATGATAAGCCTGGTTTTTGTGAACCACTGTTTGTAACATGAGTGACAGTTTGAACATTATAACAATCCACAGTTCCGTCCAGAAGTTGTTTGGTTGAAAGTATTTTGAATAATTCTAAATTATTTGTTATGTACTTAAGTTGAAATAATGCTGTCACAAAAAATATATATAACTTGACCAAACAGTGATGGCATTCTCGCTTGAAGAATGACATGTGGCATTCATATTGTAACCTGGCAAAGTGTTCAGCTGACTTAGAATGATGGCAGTAGAGCTGAATGTTTTAAAGGGCATAATGAAGAACACCGGTCTCTGTATCATTTGACAACTGAATCACAGAACTATTTACTTTTTAATCTTAGCAACATGATTTGAAGTAAAAGTGCTATGCTTACAGGATCTATTAAGACCTGTTTTCTTCTCCACTTCACAGAATTTCATAACATTGTAAATTACACACATGATTTGATGCCACAATACTTAACTTTGAAATGGCATGCTTCACCAATGAGAAGTCATGTTATACTTGTCATGGAAGAGACTACATTGGAAGTAAGCATTGCACTTGACAGTTACCTCACCACAGCTGTATTTCACTTTGCTGGGTTACACCTGTATTTACATGTAAACATGTTCATTATGGCAGAGCTGTGACTCAGTGATCCCTGGGCCCCCCTGCATATGACATAATATCAACCCCCAAACTCAGCTGAAGGACATTTTAAGTCCAAGCATCAAAGTATGCACATGTAGCCAGGACCACTGATAGTGGAACAGTGCATGCAAAGAAAACAACTGGCACTGCATGTGGCCAACATGTGATTGTCAGCTGCTGGTGTCCCTGGCTGCTAAGACTGTTTTGAGGTGGACAGAGTTGAGCGCTGAAATGGGAGATCATTCAATTGCAGATGGACAGTACTACCCTCAGGGGTTGCTAGTTTTTGCTTGGCCATACTTTAACATATTTGATGCAACTGAAAGTTATAAAAATTAATTTGGCATTGTTATTTTTGTTTTATACAATTCCTTGATACAGTGGGCTATTTTTGAGAAAGCTGCTTTCAAGACCCAAATCTATGTGACAAGAATACACTTCCCTGGTTGAATAAACAATTAATGATATATAAGACAGGCCACATATAAAAATATATACAAGATGAAACTGTTGTGGTTAGTACAGAGTTCCTCTCTTGAGTGACAGAATAAAATCTTTTGGAATCATTTGACATTAATTTCAAAACTGTAGGATGTGTCACAAGAGACATGTAAAGTGATTTTTGTTTTTAAAAAATGCCAGTTTTAAAGAACATGTGCTACAAATTCTGTTTTAAAATAGGCAGAACTGCTATAGAAATATGTGGCATGTTGAAACTTACTTTTAGAGAGAAGATAATGAGCTGGACTCAAATATTTGAGTGGCTTTCAGAGTTGAGAAGCTGATGGAATTATGCATCAGGAGTTTGTTCTATGGAATAACATTTAGTCAGTATTTCTACACAAATGTTCTGCAGTATTTATTGACAATGAAATATAAATTTCTTTTGTCTTTATCAGGAGTCAAAAATATTCATTATGTACTTGTCTGTGCAGGAATTTTTGGCCATAAACTGTATGACTATAGTCCCATATTCTGCATTTCCCCAGATCAAGCCCTGTGTGGCTCTTTTCTGTTCCAAAAACTCAAGTTAGCATTCACAGAATCATTATAATATAAATTGCAGAGCTAAAAATACAAGACTTCCTATAATTGCTTCTACCAATGGCAGAATAGCAAGATTTGCTGCATTAGGTTGCAAGGAAAGTAATGTAAATAGGGGCAGCATATCATAGCTACTAAAAGCATTAGCTATAAGGAAGGAAATTTAGTGTAGGCATTGGTTGATCACACTTTGTATAGTATTTTCCTTTTGACTCATTTCTCCAAACATTTAGAGATGGAAAAAAAGTACTTTGATATCAAAGATAATATTTTATAGGTTTTGGGTTTAAAACATATATAACTTAGAACAAATGAAGAATTATGGAGAACAGTAAATCAACATACATTCATTGTATAGTGGCAGAGCCACAACTTACCTTATTTTAAAAAGGATCCTCAGCATGTCATCTACATCTAAGCAGGCCTCACTTCTTGAGACAGTATTTTTAAGTATATGACAAAGTTTCCTCTTCACTTTATGAATTGCTTGACGAATCTCTGTACAGTTGCTGTTTCATGTTCATGTAGCTATCTAATAAATGCCACTTCACACCAAAGGAGGAAGGAAAGAAAGAAGGAAAAGAGAAAACGTCTAACCAACCAACCAACTCCATGAAATTGAGCCCTTCTCGAGAAGTTGCCACTTGTGGAGCTACTCAAGAATTTCCCAACGTTTTATGGAACCCGAAGATTCAGTACCGTGTTCACAAGAGCCCTCCACTGATCCCTATCCTTAGCCAGATGAATCCAGTCCATACCACCCCATCCTGTCTCTGTAAGATCCATTTTAATATATCCACCCACGTATGTCTTGATCTTCCAAGTTTTCTCTTTCCTTCTGGCTTTCCCACCAATATCCTATATGCATTCCTTTCCTCCTCCTTTCATGCTAAGTGCTGTGTCTATCTCATCCTTCTTGCCTTGATCATTTTTATTGTACTTGGTGAAGAGTACAAGTTATGAAGCTCCTCATTATGCAATAGAGAAAACATCCACAGTGTCAAATTCTTATTTCACATTCCAGAGGCATATGATTTTGTACGACTGTTGTTTCACATGGTTATAGCTGTAGCAGTTTTGTTTCAGCATACACTGAACTTTCTGACATATCACTCTGAAGAGCAAAAAAATGCAACAAATTTCTGTGTCTCCTGATTGACCACAGTGTCATTCAATTTATCTTCCATCAAAAATGTCACATTTGTGTCTCCTGTTTGTCTACCATCTAACTTGTATGGAATTATTCCCCCAAAGTTGCACTGCTTACAGTCATATAAATACTTACAGATTTATCATATAAAAAAATCCTTTGTTAAGTACTGTATTTCACTGTGCTGCACTTGAAACTATCTTGAATAGAAAAAAATCATTTGCATATATCTGCAAATTTGTAAAACATGATGATAAAGGGAACCTTACTGGCAGTGCAAGGCCAGCGAGGTGTGGCAACAGTGACTCAGTTTTGGAGTAGAAATTGCTAACCGAGATTCAGCAACAAACAACACTGCTTATATTACAACCAATAGTAATGTTGCTGATAAGTCTGAAGGTTCTGTGACGAATGTGTGTTATCAAGCTGACATGTATATTGTACATTTTTCTTGTTTTTGATTAAAAACACATGTTTTGAATGCTGGCTCTGCTTCCAGAATGTTGTCTTCTAACTAAATGAAGATGATGGAAAATGTTGAATACATGTGTCACTACTTTATTGAAGTTACTAGTATTGTCTGTAATTCATAAAGACTTATTTTGTATGTCAGACAGTAAAATAAAAGCACAATGTAAAGACAGACTGGAATACAGAATTAACAATAATTCATTACACATTTTAAACAATGTTCTCAGTTTGGTGTTAATGTGTGAGAAGTTTACTGGAGATAGACAGCTGTCCCAATCACAACAGTTTTTATCCAGGGAAGTGTTTATTCTTATACTCTTTATTTCTGACAAGTTTTAATGAGAACATGATCTATTAGATAAAATGAGAAGTACCCAGTCACCTTTTTCATAAGGAAGCTTGTTTGTACCTCAGAATTTTGAACATGTGTTCAGTAACTGTGATTATAGTCATAATTGTAAATGGGTGATTTATGTAAGTATTGTTGTTCAGTTACTTAAATGTTTGTTTTTGTTGATCGTATTTTGGATAGAATTTATAAAAATCAGTGTGTTATACTTACTTAAGCCTGTAAAATTAAACTGTGATTGAAGTGAAGTTTAAGTAAGTGTACTTATGATGTGCATTTGCTTGGACAATTATACAGTAAATTTCTGCAAAATATTATTACATTTCTAAATAAATGAAAATGTATGTAGTAACCCAGTG